TATAACCATAGCAACCCTACTTAGAACCCTGAGAGCCATCCTACACCGGGGAAGAGTTGCTTTTTTTTTTGCCTTTTTGAAAGCCCCTTGGAGCCTCGTACACTTCCCAAGTTTCTATAGTTGTGGAAGCAGACCTCTGCCCACAGCAAACTTCTCCTGACAGGGCGCCTTCATGAGCTTCTATGGCTTCTTCGGCTTCTTCATCTTCGGCGGGCCGGCAAGGATTTTTTGATGTCTCTGCCATATAAACTGTTTAAAGGATTTCCGACCTACGCCAAGAGAAAGAGAGCTAGAGAGCTAGAGAGACAGAGAGAGAGAGAGAAAAAAAAAAAAAAAAAACATCGTGCAGGGATCCACACATGACTCACATGACTGTTTGTCTAAGTAAGCAGTCGAAGTCCATTGCGTGCTTGCGCGAAGTGCAGATTGTCGTGGTTTTATATCTCATACCTGAAGCAAAGCTTTCTTAGCAGCCCAGCCACTTTTAGTACATAAGGATGCTCGCGGCACATAGTTCGTGGCATGCTTACAGCATGAACTGCCAAGAAGACTACTCAGACACTGCAAAGGTCCGATCCAGTGGTACATCAACATCTTCAACGTTGGCCAGGGAGTCTGCGAGTTCAACAAGAACGACGGCATGATGTACATGGCGGGGGGCAGGGCTGCGCAAACTTCAACACCAAAAGAAGCTAACGCGTCTAAATATGGTAGTTGACGGGCAAAGGGACAGGGAAGGAAGTCCTGGGTCTCAGTCAATCTTGGGTTCAGAAGTGGACTTTCCTCATGAGAACCAGCGATGATGTCCCACGGCAGCTTTGAGGGTGCGCAGCCCGCGTTCGGACCTGAGGTGCGAAATGGCGACATGATTCGAGAGGTCCCGCTCACAGACTTCCAGGTGGAGCGGTCTTCATGGGCTTAGGGCAGTTTTAAATAATTTAGAGGTTTGGGGTTTTCAGGGGCTCCATCCGGGTTTGAAGAAAGAAGCTCCTTGGGCGAGCATGAGCAAACAGAGCACCTTCATCCCCAAACCCTTGCTCACACAAGTTTTCTTGTCTTCCTTCAGTTCCCAGGTTCTCCAAAAAAACCGTTGTTCGAAGGTGTGGCCTGACATTGTGTGCAGTACCCCAATCCCAGGGTGGTAGGTTTAAAGGGTTCAGGGGTTCTAGGGTTTGAAGGGGTTTTAAAAGCTTTAGGGAGAGGTTGTTCCGGCATTCAGCAAGAGGGGGCTTCAGAAATAGGGGAGTTCCAGGGTCTCGGGTTTGTGGGGTTTATTTTTCGCGCGCCTACGTAGGCGCTTTGGGATACTATAGATGTTCACGTATGATTGGTTGGGTGCAGGATCATGTTTATAGGAGTTAAGGGCCTAAAGCCCTAAAACCCCTTAAACCCTAAACCCTAAGCAAAAACGACCATCCCCGAGATGGCAACAAATCTGGGCCTTTGCTGGCTATAATTTTACATGTTTTGTCATGTCAACTTCCCAAGAAAGGAACAATAATGATCATGTTTAATGGAACCCTCAGAAGGAAGCAGGAACAAGAAGCAAAACCGATCATATGTAGAATAATATATGAGTCGGATTCATCACTAATAGTATTCCCTTATGGTCCCTTCATACAAAAACTATAATAACCCCCAAAGCCCTATTCTAAGGTTTCCGTGTCTCTGTATCCTCTAGGGCTTTCGAATAGTGTTTACAGGGCTATTAGGGTTCCAGGGTTTCTAGGATGCCCAGCACCTTGCTTTTCTCCTGCTCCACGAGCCGAAGGTCCCCAGACCTTGAGCGGTTGAGGAGTTCTAAGCCGAAGAAACACGATAGGTAGCACAGGAGAGCTGGCAATCCAGATCATCTACTTGAATGTTTGCCAAGTTTCAGATAAACGACCCCAAAATGCCCATTCAACCAAACAAAGGCCCCGATAAATGTATCATGTCCCTAGTAGGCCGTCAAGTTCGAGTGGACGGATATGGCCATCACTGGAAGTCGCGACTTGTACCTGGTGACGCAGGCCAGAGATTTTGTGAGAGTTCGGGGTTGGGTTGTGCAGGGTTCTTGGGCATCAGGGTGTTTGAGGTTTACAAACTTCAGGGTGGCGTGCAGTTCGCGCAAGTTTGCCGAGGTTTCCCCGCAGTGGTGTGATTTTCGTAGTAGTATTGGCATCTTGTCGCCGGCAGAGGTTGCGGTCAAGGACCAGCAAGAAAGCAAACGGGTGCGTTGGATTCAGCAGTCCAATACCCCTTAATTAGAAGGTGTATATATATATATATGAATATATACATATATATATATACATATTATTATTTTGATAGGGGACCTTCATATGATTTGAGTTATATTCCTTAACTAAGGGCTTTTGGATGGCTTCGAGCCTGGAATGCTATCCCTGATGTCGCTGTCAAGCTGGTCGTTCGAAGACCTTGGGATGTTGCAAGAACAGCGGAACACAGGAACCTAAAGACTTCCCCATGCCATCCCTTTATTTGGAACCTCAACACAGGGGTGTGTTTATCTATGTATTTGGAACCTCAACACAGGGGTGTGTTTATCTATGTCTATATCTATACTTCCATAAACGACTATACCTACCCAACATGCCCATTCTATGTGTATGTTAGTATGCCCGTGTACGAGGATGGCGACCCAAGGCCAGCTCATCCCAGCTTGTTCTTGCAGGAGGGACAAGAGATCCACTTCATGGACGACCCTGAGGCGTCCTGCAATTGCGTCCAGAACCAGGAAGGAGAGGACAGGAAGAAGAGCACACGAAGGAAGAGAAGAAGAGGAGAAGAAGAAGATAAGAGGAGCGAAAAGGAGAGAAGAGGAGAGAAGAGCAGAGAACGGAAAAACGAGAGAAGAGAAGCGAAGAAGAAGAACAGAGCGGAGGAGAGAAAAGAAGAGCAGCAGAGAAGAGGAGGGAAGAGGCGAGGAGAGGACAGGGAGAGGAGAGGAATTCGAGAAGAAGAGGAGAGGAAGGATGGAAAGTAGAGCAGAGAAGAGGAATAGAGAGAGAGAGAGAGAGAAGAGCAGAAAGGGAGAAGTGTAGACAAGAGAAGAGCACAGGAGAGGAGAGAAAGAGAAGAGAGCCCCAAGTTTTTTTTTTTTCACAGCTTCGGTAAGACGCTAAACATTCTCCTCGTTCTCTTCATCCTCAAAAGCACCTGGAGGTCTACAGCAAGTTCGTCCTTGAGAAGCGGGCTTCGAAACTGTCCGAATTCCTGGACATCGAGTTGCTCGTGGACGACTAAGGCACCTTCTTGGTCGCTTTGGGGCCCGAGCTAAGCCAGCTGCTGGTGACTCGCAATCTGGTGTCGTTGCCATGGAAGCAAAGGTTGTGTTGATCTCTGTCATTCAAGGCCCACATGTAAGACAAGCTGTCTGCGCAGGTGTGCAGTAGTTGGGAGGTCTTCATCAGCAGGGGTGTTCGGAACCCGGTATTACTTTCATGGTGCTTACAAGTGCCCGCATATCGCTCACTGGGTGCTTTACATCGTGCTTACATGGTGCCTACATGTTACATACACGGCGCTCACATAGCGCCTCTAGTTCTCATCACATGGTGCTGTCATTGCGCTTACACGGTGCTTACTGTGCTTACATGGTGCTTACATTGTCCTTACATCTCGCGTGCGTGGTGCTTACATGGTACATTCACGGTGCTCACATACCGCATTTAGATCTTATCACATGGTGCTTACATCGTGCTTACATTTGCTTACATCGTGCTTGCATGCTGCCTACATGGTACATACACGGTACATACACGCTGCTCATATAGCGCCTCTAGTGCTTATCACATGGTGCTTCCATTGCGCTTGCATGGTGCTTACATAGTGCTTATATCGTGCTTACACGCTGCTTACAGAGTATTCCCCTTCCGTACAACTTACATGGTACTTCCGAGGCACTTACAAGTAATTCCCAGATCGGTGACTTACACCAAGCAAGACAGCACCAGTGCGTGGTGTTCTCCGTATGCAGCATTCTGACCTTGCATCATGACCTTCAATTCTGCCCCTTCCATCCTGCTTATATGTATGTCTAGGCAGAGGGTGCCATAGCAGCAGGAAGTAAGGCCTTAGATCCTTGCCCCACGGAGCGGACGCTCCCTCACATGTGAACGACACCGCTTTACTAGTCACCTGCGTCCTCCATTGAATCGTGTCAGCATTTTTCAGCATCAGAAACGTACTTGGCATGAAGCCCTGAGCCCTCGAACCTCGACTGGCCCAAAGGGAGTGTTCGATTCTAACATAGCACGGGCAATTATCATCCCGGCTATAGAGGCCCACTTGGAAGCTCTTCTGGCTTAGTAAGTCTACTTAGTATCCCCTAGAAAACCGATTATAATCCCCTTAGCCCACCTTTTGCTTACCCTAAGTCAAAAGGGCTTCCAAGCAGAGTGAAGAAGGCAACCAACTGGGCCCAACCCCAAACAGTCCTTGCGGCAAGTCTGGACGTCTTCCCTCAAGTCGTTCAGGATGCAGGAGGGATAGCTCGTCCTAGGAACAATGGGATCTTGCTTTGGAGTGAGGGGGTTGTTCCATTGAACTCTCAAGCTCTTGGCGCAGGCGCTCGACCAGCACAAGTTACGAAACGGAGAGGGCTGTCGTAGCCGTTGTCCTTATGAGGGCATTTTTCGCAATCGGAAGGCTGTGACCTGACGGTGCTCACAGACCCAGATTTTGACCGCTGCGTTCCTGGCACAAAAAAGAATTTCATGGCCGACTGGTTACGCCCTTGTTTTTGCCAAGACTTGTCCCTCCGCCATCACCTCCAACTGTAAACCCTGATCCGAGGAGAAGTTTCGCATGCTGGAAGCTCATGTCCCTGCACTAAGGCTGGTAGTTCTCAAGGGTCCTCTTTTTCAGCTCCGAAACCTTCAACTTGCAGTCGCTCCCCCCTCCACCCCCTTGCCTCCCTCCCACTTTCCCACAAAAAGAAATGTTCCAACCTTGAGCCCCAAGCCGATGCCCCGTGTGGAGCCCGGAAACGTAAGGCTGGTGACGGTGGTTCGCTCGAAGATGCTGGCTGCGAGGGGCTTGGCCGACTCCATGTAGGACGAAACAAGTGAGTCCCTAAACCCTAAACCATAAACCCTAAACCCTAAGGTGCCGTTGGTGTTCGGCTCTTTTTGCCTTGCCAGCTGAGACCCCGAGTTTTATCTGCCTGTGCAAGACATGGGCTAGGAAACCAACCAGTCAGTCACCCTCATTATAAGACCTATCTTGCGGTCATCACTTGGGCTTTTCCATGAGCTCTCTAGTACTTGGAGACGAAGATAGGGACCAGTCCAACCGCAGCACCCATCACACCTTGAGACCCAACCTCTGTTTTCAAGCCATCCCAGTTCACCGTTCGTAGTATCTTGACAGGTACCAACAAAGGGGCCCTTAGTATAATAATATGCAAAGAGTGAACGAAGTAAAGAATGCACGTTCGTTCTCTTCTTTGCACTTATTATAATTAAGGGGCACGTTCGCGAGCTCACTTATTCACTTCGTTCACCATTATACATTGAATGGAGCCTGGTCGCGGTCAGGAGTCCTGACATTATGTTGGCGCTGGGTCGTTACACCCTATAAACCCACACCCAAAACGCCCTAATCCCGAAGCCCTAAGCCCTAAGCCCTAAGCCCTAAGCCCTAAGCCCTAAGCCCTAAGCCCTAAGCCCTAAGCCCTACCTCAACCCTAAACCCCAACCCCCCTTCCCGGGGAGCAAAGGGAGCCCTCGCATCTCCAGGCCAAGCTTCTCCATCTGCAGCTGGAAGAGGTCGAGGAGTTGGCGGGCATGGGCATCATCACGGAAGGCTGGCGGTGTTGTTGTTTTTTTTTTTTTTTGGGGGGGGGGGTTAGGGTTTCGGGTTTAGAGTTTAGGGTTTGGGGTTGGGGAGGCTGGATGGGCATCATCACGGAAGGCTGGCACCTGCCAGGGCCGAGGGGCGTTTTTTTTTTTTTTGTTGGGGGGGGGGGGGGGGGAAAGGGTTAGGGTTTAGGGTTGTCATGCCTGTTGCCCAGCTGATAGTGCGGAGCCTGGGTTACAAACAAAAAAAGGGTTCAGGGCTTAGGGTTTAAGAACATAATATATATATATATATATATATGTATATATATATATAGTAGATAACGCATATCATTGTACGGCATAATGAACATTTAGATTGTTGGTGAGGGGGGGCGGGGTACCTAAACCTTCAACCCTACAGCTGTGCCCTGGGGCGGAGCCAAGGGGGGGACTCTGCTTTGGACTTCTTGCTTCTGATGCACTCGAAAGCCGAGAACCCAAAAACTCCTGAAGCCCTAAAACCCTTCTTTTGTAAGGCCGATAAACCCTTCATGCAATCTGAAATGTTGAATTCTAAACGGTGAAAGTCCTCTTGCTAGTTCGGCTTTTGGGTGTTCGGGTTCGGGTTAGGGGTTGTGTAGTTTTAGGACATTCTGGCTCCTAGGGTCTTAGGGTAGGTGTTGGGGTTTGCTTGAGGGTTTGGGATTTAGGGGGTGGGTGGGTGGGTGACACGGGTCCCTCTTTTGCAGAAGAAACAAAACTATGGTAAATAAATGTTTTTCTACATGTATATATATATATAGAGATATTGTATATCTTTGAATGAATGTAGCTGAATTCATGTATAGCGTGAGTTCGCTTTGCTGTCAGTGCTTCAACCATACAAACGTCGAATCCTATGGTCATGTGCTGCAGCGAAGGTTATTCCCCAGGTTTAGGACTTAGGCTTTAGGGTTTAGGGCTGATAGAAGGTTCCAAGGCCCCTATAGTACTTGCCTCGCCAGACCACTCACCTTGTCCACCGGTCGCATCGTTTGCCCATCCTGGCTTCAGCTTTGCTGTACAGGATTCTCCGACGTTGCTGGCAGTTTGAGGTTCCTCTCTTCGTGTTCCTCTTGATGGTGGCAGTTTCCCAAGAGAGGGGTCCTCTTTCACAACCCCATAGAAATACTGCACTTCTTACCATCGGAACCGCCAAACACGGGTTTTTGCCTCGGGCTTAGGGTAACCCTGTTGTTGGAACCTCCTCTCGCGCACGATGGACGCACAAGATGTGATCGACCTCGTGGAGCTCGATGACTTCACGGTGACCGAGGCGCTTGTGAGTCGATTTGCTGTCTTAATCTAGGACCGGGAGCAGGGCCTTTTTCCTTTTTTTTTAGAGCTGGGGTTCCCTTATAATCCCCTTAAAACCACAAAGGGTGTCCTTTTTAATCCTAGGTTACTCCGGGGTCTAATAATTATGTGTTTTCCAGTTTGTTTTTGTTCCTACCTACCGGCCTAAATTCCGGGAACCCTGCCCCCCCTATAGATCGGCCCGGAACCCAAAACCCTACATAAAACTTGAAACCCGAAGCCCTAAAACCCTAAACCCCAAACCCCCAAGAGGTGCAGACTGGCTGGAAGTTTCTGGAGCAGAAGAAAGCCCAAGTTGAGTTCCCCGCAGAGCCAGCAGCACTTCTTTTTTTCTTTTCCTTTCAACTCCCCTCGTAAAAAAATGGTTTAGGGTTTAGGGTTGAGGGTTTAGGGTTTAGGGTTTACAAAAGAAGAGGGAGAAGATCCGGCGTTTGCTCCCTAATTCTCGGAGAAGCAGCAGGTTGTTCCAGGAGTTGAAGGCAGCCGCACCGCGCTCCGCGCCCATGCTGAACCTTGGGCTGGATAGAAGTATGATTGCAACACAGTCGTAACCACAACAAAATCCACAAAACAAAAAAAAAAGCCTTCAAGCTGGCCAGATTATGCACATGTTTGCGTGACTTGCTGTAATATCTGTGACGAGTTCCTCGCGTGCACTCAGGAAGCGAGTTCACACAGCCTGGGAGGCGTTGAGCAAGCTCGTCACTGGACTCAACGATGCCAGCCAGCTGCGCAACCAGATGGAGCTCCCAGGCCGCCATTTACATATTGGGTTTAGGGTTTAGGGTTTAGGGTTTATGTTTAGGGTTTAAGGGGTCCTGTCCCATCTGGGGGGGGTTGGGAGGTGAGATTTGCCCAGCCGGAGCACCCTATAGGGCTTTCTCTGCAGTGGAAGTCGGTCGGTCAAGGTTCTGTGCCCTTCGGCACATGAGTGTGTCTCTGCAGCAGTCGGATGTGGACAACTTTAAAAGTGTCCTTCTTGAACTCTGCAGCACCAAGCTCGGTGGACTTTTGACACCAGAGTTCCAGTTCGGCATCTCGATCCTCATGGACTCCATGGGGCGGACGATGCTTCGGACCCGCACGAAGTTCGAGACAAGGCTGCGCATCCTCCGCACAAGCTGGGCAGCCCTTGAGCACCTTGGCTGACCTTTGATGCCATCCTCAACTTCCCGCACAAAAAAAAAACGCAAAAAGACCCTCAGACCCCCCCTTCCCCGGAACTCCATATATCAGTGTCTTGACCCCGGTGGGGGGTTGAAATGCCGAAGACACTCCAGGAACGTCGAGGATGCAGAGGAAGAGACACCAGTGTCGCCCAGCGCAGGCAAAGACGAGGAGCCTTGCTTGAGTTCGGTGTTTTGGGGGGGTCTGGCCGGGAAGAAGCAAAGCAGGGCTTTGGGGCGGCAAAAAAAACTTCAGGAAGCACGAAGTCTCATGGGATTCTTGCTTCTTTGGCTCTCCTATAGGTCTAAGGCTTACGTGCTTCAGGGTTTGGGGTGTGCTTGCACACCCATACCTCTCTTCGCGTGAAGGAGGACCCAGGCTCACCGCACGGTGAGGACCATGACCAGACGCCCCACGGTGACGAAAGCGTGGGCCGCAAGCACAGGAAGAGCTTGGTCAGCGCAGGAGAGCGTTGTCTTCTAACCCCTAAACCCCAACTAAACCCAATACTTGTTTCTTAGCTGTCAGCTTGAGGTTCTTGATGCTGGAGTGGGTGTCAGAGGCAGACATGACAACTCAAGCTTTCTGCACCACTTAGATGGGTTATAAGTCTTACTATTCGGGTTATAATTCCGGTAACTAATTTTAACGCTACGCGACCCGCCTCGGCCCGGCCCAGCGCATCCGCGTGAGCATGGTGATTCCACAGCGCCCAAGTCGCTGGACCCCAAGCAATAAGGGTTGGGTTTAGGGTTTAGGGTTCCGGGTTTTATGGTTTGGGGTTTAGGGTTGAGGGTTAGTTTAGGATTGAGGGCTTGGGGCTCAAGCTTTGGGGTTTTATTGGGGTAGGGTTGAGCCAGGCCCTCAAAGGGGGGGGGGGAGGGGGAAGGGGGGCGGGGTGGGGGGGGGGGTGGGGGGGGGGGGGGCAGAAGGGGGGGGTGGAGGGGTGGGGGCGGGTGGGGGGCGTAGGGCGTAGGGGTGGGGGGGTAGGGGGGGGGGGCCTGGCGAACCGTCCGCTTGCGGACCCCGGTTTCCCAGGGGGGGTACCCATTTGAGGCAAAAAAGGGGGCCGAAAAAGGGCTTTGGGGGGGAGGATTTGGAGGGGGGTGCCTGTTCTGACAACCTATACACCTCCGGCCCGAGGCCTCGGCGGATATGGGTCATTCAAATAGGGTTACAAGGGCCCTTAGTTGGGTTATAAGTGTTACTATTCAGGTTATACTTCCCCGAACTAAAGTTAGTACAGTTAGGGGGGCCCCTACTTGTAGATGCAAGCAGGATCTGTGCACGTGCCACGGTCCTTTCATGACATGGTCCTCTTCAATGCCTCGGTGATGAATATGGCCCAGAACCTCTGGTTCGAAGAGATGCTTCAAGCTATTCGAGCGATGGTGCCGAACTGTGGAAACATCTCCAGGTTGCAGGAAGAATGTGACCTGCTTTGCTTGGCCTTGGTACAATACCAGGATGTAGAGCCTTGCCTGACTTTTCTCCTGAATCCATGTAGTGGCCCCCCTGGTTATGAATGGGTTATAAGGGCTTATGGGGGCCCGCTTTTGGGTTACAAGTCTTAGGCACCATGTGCTTCGTTTGCCGCGCCATGAGCGGCATGAAATGCTTGCAGAGAGAAGAGCAGAGAATGTTGCGACACTGCACAAGATGCCAAAATTGTGCTCTCCCCTAGGTTTTGCCACATTTTCAGGAATGGTCATTTGCAGCGCAAGCTGCAGGTGAGGAAGTGGAAGGCTTAAAGAGGGTCCTCAAAGGTAATGTTTGAAACGTGTTTTTTGAAATTAAAATTGCAAAAACTCAGTATTTTTTGCGGGGAAAGTTATTCGTTTGTTCGAACTCACGGCTCCGGCATGTCCAGCCACGTGGTGTCCACGAAGGCTTATAATGTCGTAGATGCCGATGTTTTAGGCATGTCATGTGCCGAAACACTGCAAAGAACCTTAACACGGACGGTATTATCGCGCGGACATGGATGCTCTGGTATCACGGACGTTGTCATCGCGCGGACATAGACGCTCTGGCCATTCGCATGCAGTGGGAACACGGATGTTTGCATCGTGCGGACATGGATGCTGTGGTAACAAGGACGTCATCATCGTGCGGACATGGATGCTCTGGCCATTCGCACGCAACGAAGCCGCGAAGTGTCGTAAATACCGATGTTTTCGGCATGTCATGCGCACGAAACACTGCAAATAACCACGTATTCACCCCCTTGGAAAGTGCGGCAAGCGAGGGTGATGGAGCCAAGTCTTTCTACTTAGGATATAATTCCCTGAACTAAAGCTAGTATTGTAAGGGGGCCCCTACTTGTAGACCATAGCCATAGCCTCAGCCACATGGATCCCTTCTATCTCCATCCCGTCAAAGTCCCACATCCACATCTGCGCAGCCCTGTGTCAGTACGAGTAAGGACCTGAGCGACTTCAAGAAGGTAATGTTTGCTTCGTTGAGATCGCTGCTGCCGTCGCAGTGGAACATGGAGCATGA